TCTTCCCATTCCGTTCCAACGTCTGTCAAGTTTGTTTCGTCCGCAATTGTCGTCATCCTGAGTTGTCCTCCTATGATTTGTCCCATCAAAATTGATTTAGCAGGTCGCTTTGGGTTGACCCAAACCCGAAGCGGGTCAGGTTTGGGTCTGAAAAACCGACCCGTTTGCAAAAAAATGGGTCAAGTTCGGGTTGACCCGAATAGTGCCGGGCAGTTCCAGGTTCGACTCGAACCAGACCCATGACCCGAAATTGGCACCCAGACTACCAAGAAGAAATTAACATTTTGATGTTGAAAATAGCTCTTTTAGATGCTTTCACGGCAGGATTCGACTGTTGAAGTTCTAGTTTTCTGGATTTTGGAAAATGAGGAAAACCCCTGAAATCAAAATTTCAAGATATCCAATGAACTTTTTCTCAAATGATTTACCTTGAATGATTTGTTTACTTTACTCCCAAGTAATTGTTAAGATGATTGATAGTTAAGCACATCCCCTGCAGCAACTTCTGATTTTCTATAAGATGAAGGAGATTGAGGAAATGCTATGGTCTTCTTTATTTGCTCCCATGATGATTTGCAAAGGCAAAAATATATATAATGGAAAATATAGCACTTGAAAGAGAGATAATATTCTTAAAATCTACTTGGCTTTATTTTTGAAAGCAATTTCGTTTGAATTTAATGACTTAGAATCCTTGTTTGGAAATCTTGTAGCAGTTTGAAAAATATTGAAGGGTGTTTTGGTAGTTCTGAAAAGCTTTGGAGTTGAGAAAGAGCCATTGGAAGACTTCAAGTTCAAAACTTCACTTCAAGCGGGGCAAAATTGATTGTGAAGAGCTGCTGTTATCAGGTAAGGACAAGTACATGTGATGTTGGTGTTCAGGCATAATGTATGGATTTTATCAAGATTATAAAGGTAAATATTTTATGCATTTAGATCTTCATGATTGAATAGTTTGTCATTCTCCAAGCTTCAAACACTCTAACATGCTGAGTAAATTCAAATTTGATGGGGACATCAGATCATGGAAATTATTTCAGAGGCGTGGCCGACGATCTACCGCTACGATCGCACCAATCTATTTTTGATTCATTATTGTATTTGTTTTATTTGTTTGCATTATGTATTTGTTTTATTTGTATTTTTCGTTTTACCTTTACTTAAGGGTATGGTCATATGTAAGCTTGATGGACAACATTGTCTTTTAGTTCTCTTTCATTGTATGATGCTATTTATAAGCCCCTTATATTTATTTTCAAGTTAATGAAGAATTATTACATAAAATTTATGCTATTCTGTTCTTGGGAGAGTTTGAGAGAGTTGAGAGAGGTGAAGCCTATGAGAGGCCCAACAAAGTACACAACAGCCACCCTCGGGTGAGCTATTGGTTTTCTTTACTATCTTCTTTCTTCTCATCCCCCTCCTCTTGCCGACGTCCTACACCAACCCCACTCCTCCTTCTCTTGCCGCCGGCCCACACCATCCCCACTCCTCCTCTTGCCGCCGGCCCACACCAAACCCACTCCTCCTCCTCTTGCTGCCGGTCTACACCAACCCCACTTCTCGTCCTCTTGCCGCCGACCCACACCAACCCCTCCCCTCCTCCTCCCTCCACGTGGCCGAGAGTCCCATACCCAACCCCGTAGCCGCTGGCCTCCTCCTTTCCCAAGCCATCGACCTCTATCACCCCCACTTTCCTTATTTAACCAACCCTAATTTAGAAGGGAATTGAATTTAATTTCCAATGGAATTTAAATTTCAAATTCCTTCCTAATGGATGAACCTATTTTTGGAAAGGGGTGACAATCAAATAAATTGATCAAATCTAAATTAATTGATTAATTAAAGCTCTAGGTCCAAATACATTGAACCTAGACATATTTCCCCTTACTCTCTCTTGGCCAAATTCCCCTTGTACCCACCTACTTAAATTCCTTCCAAAAGGAAGCCTCTCCCATTGGAATTAATTCAAACTCTTTCCCTCTCTCCTTCGTGCTGCCCCTCTCTCTCCAATCCTTCATTAATCCTCCCAAAATCAAGAAGATTAATTAAGGAAATGCTTGTGTAATTTCCCTCTATCCATCATCTTTACAATATGAACCATATTTTCCCCCACTTCCCTCTCTAATCAAGCCGTCCATAACCCTAACCCGAACTCCACCAAAATCTGAACATAAACTCTCCCTAGCCTCCTACCTTGGCCGACCACCCACCCATCCCTTTTTCTTCTTGGATTCCTTGGAGAAACTTAATTCCCATAAAGAGAATTCTCAAGGACAACAAAGAGCGTCATCCATAATACTTCAACGCCACGTACCTTATGCATGGCCGATTCTGAATGCGACTCCGGCTTCATCTACAACCAGGGGCGGATCCCCATTGAGTTGAGGGGGGGCAAATGCCCCCCCTTAAAAAAACTTTTTGCCCTCATTTAATCAATCCTAAGCATCTTTGCCCATCCCCACAAAAAAAATTTTTTTTTGCCCACCCTGAAAAAAGAAGTTGGATCCGCCCCTGTCTACAACAAACAAGGCTTACTTCAACGCCACGTACCTTATGCATGACCAATTCTGAATGCGACTCCGGCTTCATCTACAACAAACAAGGCTTTGTCAACATCCTTCGATTACCCTTCATTCATCGTTAATCCGGAGGTAGATAATTCCATCGATGAATACTTGGAGCGCATTATATTCACTCTTTCGGAAGCCATCGTATAACAACTTTCCATCGTTCAGTGGCCGATCACCGCCCCGCCAAAACAAGGATGAACTCTTCCCCCTCCTCATTTTCCCTCATGTTCTCCTTTGATTATGGTCGTATATCAAGCATAAAGAATGTTGCAAAGCTCTATGCCAAAGTTTTGTAAACATAGGGAATGAGTGATGGACTTCTATGTATCTAATCTCGTTATTAATCTAGGAATGTTATTAGAAATCCTCTATATTTGCTTATGTTGAATTTTATAATTATTTTGTGATCCAAACTATTATTGTGTGACTTTGTCTAAACTAAGGCACCCCTTTCTTATTTTCCATTTCATTAAGTGGCTAATGTTTTAATTTTTTTATTGCTCTTACTTGAAAGCATGCAAATTCTTATTCCCATCATTTAAATCATTCATAGTTCTACATCATCTGGTATCAGAGCATGGCTGCATATTTGATGCCTATCAGGAAAACTTTTTTTACATGTTTAACATCTAAATTGCATCAACCACATTTGTCATTTGTTTGTTTGCATGTTGCTTTCGTTCACTTTTGCCTAGTTTTGAGTTGCTCTAGACATTAGGATGGACCCCAAACAACTTCACTGGACTCTAGATTTGTTGGTAGGTCAAATGAACACCGTTAGTCAACAACTCAAGGAAAACTAAGTTGACATAGCTGAACTCCGTAGAATTACAACTGATCGATTTGATACCCTAGATCGAGGTAGGAACCACCATACTCCTTATACTATGTATAGACCTTCTTTCATGTATGAGGATGATTCCGGATGAGGGACCACCTCATGCCCCTTATCGAGCTCCCCACTATAGACATGATCATAACCTTGACTCGGATATTCCACTGATGAAAAATATTAAGGTCGATGCCCCAACCTTTGATGGTACCCTCAATCATCAGTTCTTTTCTGGATTGGAATAGGGGTATGGATAGTGTCTTTAAGTAGTACAACATCTCCGAGGCTAGAAAAGTCCAATTGCTGAAATGAAACTCATTGGTAGGGCTAGTTAATTTTAGTCGTCAATGAAGCATGAGCTCAAGCAGAATTACTTGCCTCCCTCGTACTTCCCCAGGCTCTTGGATAGGTGGAATAGATTGACTCAAGGCAACAAACTGGTCAAGGATTACATCACATCTTTTGATGATTATCTGATTCGTTACAAAGGGAAGATCTATACTACCCCCGCATAAATTATGTCCATGTTTCATAAAATTTTTTGATGATATATCAATATTATACTCTTCTTAAAATTAAAATAGACTCTTCCTTATAAAATTTTGTTATCATAGATTATATTGCTTTGCAAAAACTATATATTAATTTATTTATTCTTAGATTTTGTTAAGGAGGATTTATAAATATATTAGTAAAATAAGAATCATACAAACTCTGATTTCAACAAACTTATAGTCGAATTGAATATCTTGAAGAGACGAACACAACAACACTAAATTCAGTCAATTCGAGCCCAACTGAGTCAAAATCAAATGTCTAAGACATATTTGAAGGGTTCAAAATATTAATTGGATAACCAAATGATCGATGATTCCAATGAGCCTAAGATCGTTTAATTTGACTTCATTAAGACACTTAAATGCTTGATCAACGATCTATGATTAAGGGAGTCAATATCAGCCATCTATTCTAACACTCCAATCTTGCCAATCTCTTCTCTATTTACAAGCAATGCACTCTAAAAAAATTATAAATATGACCCCATTCTTCACATAAAGGGAGGAAGAAGAGGGAGGGAAGAAGGTAGGAGGAAGAGAAGAATATTTGAAGAGCTATATTGCCGTCAACCACAACCAACATTTTTCTCCACCAACGACGTTCTTCTCCATCGCTGATGTTATTCTCCACCGTTGATGTTCTTCACCACCACCGAATTTCTTCCAATACATCGGTTCTTTCCAAACAGTAGAATTTTTTCTCCTCCGCCAACGCTCTTCTTGACCGCCGTTGGAGTTCTCCTCAGTCACCATCAAAGTTCTTCTTGATCATCACAAGACTTTTACAACAAGTCTGAAGATTTATAGAACTTTTCCATACATTATATTATCCCCAACTTTGAATTACAGGACATTGACTTTGGTAATATATCTAAATTTTAGTGAAATCATTTCAATTGATCAAGTCCCATAATTTTCCCGATTTTTCATTTAAAAATCATAATATTTTTTCTTTGGTATATTTGTGTGCTGAAATTTCGTGCTTTACTAAGTAGGTATATATATATCATCATCGAATTGAAATTAATTAAATGGTAACTCAACTTTCCTAATTTATTTTCATCTTCCTCCCGGCTCCCCTCTCTCCTCTGTCTCTTAAGCTGCACACGAGATCGCCCTCGATGCAGAACTCTCCCAGCTCACGAGATCGGCTCTAGATGCGGAAAACTCTTCCTGCTCACGAGGCCGAAGAAGGTAGATTTTTCTCTTCTCTCTCTCTTGCTTGGCGCCTGTCGGCAGTCACTCGCATGATTCGCATTTTTGTTATGCATCCTGTGGTATCCGGAAGGGTTAAAAAGCTTTATCCTTTGTGCAAGTCCTCTAACACGATAGTGCCTGGCATACCACTTGGACATTTGCACGCACTGTTTGTTTTATATGTTTTTTTCCACAAAACTTACTAGAAGGTTATTATTCAGTGGAATTGAAAATATTTTCTGATGTTTTATTTCTTTGGATGTTTTTGTTTCCTCCTTTCTCATCTTTGTATTTGTCTAATTTGCTTTTGCATACTGAAGAATAGATACTTGCTATACCTTCCTCGCGTATCTGTAAATCCTATAAGCCGCTGAACTCCAGGATTTAATAAATCCAAATTTAGTGGAAAAGAGGAAAAATACCATGAAGTGAATATTACATTTTCCATGAGATTTAAATTAGCATTTTTGGGCGTTTGGCATGATTTAGCTCAAGTATTGCATCCAAACAGCTCCTTAGCATTTGCTCAAATCACTCAACATAACAAAGGGTTAATAATGCTTATATTCAAGTCATTAAGGATATGTATGCAGGAGCTGTTACTTGTGTTCAAACACAAGGTGGTTTGACTAAGTATTTTCCTATTTCAGTTGGTTTACATCATTGACCAGCCTTAAGCCCATATATTTTTGCTTTAGTCATGAATGTTGTCACTAGACATTTGCAAGATGTTGTACCCTACGGTATACTTTTTGCTGATGATATTATTTTTGTTGATAAGACTAGAGAGGGAGTTGAAGGTAAACTTGAATTATGAAGGTCAACCTTAGAGTTTAAAGGCTTTCGTTTGAGTAGATCTAAAATTGAATATATGGAGTATAATTTTAGTAATAATAGATCTAGTGGGGGATTGTGACTTCGAGTGATGAAGTCATTAATGAGAGTACACATTTTAAATATATTGGGTCTATTGTTCAGAGTGATGGTAAAATAAATGGGGATATTATTAGTAGAATTCAAGTTGGATGGTTGAAGTGGAGGAATGCTTCGGGTTTGCTGTGTGATAGAAAAGTCCCTTTCAAACTTAAGGGAAAATTCTATAAGATGGTAGTGAGACCTGCAATGCTTTATGGTGCAGAATATTGACCATTAAAAGAGAAGCATAATATTAAGTTAAGTGTTGCAGAGATGGGGATGCTTAGGTGGATGAGTGGCTTTACTCTAGAGACAAGATATGAAATGAGCATATACATGAAATGTTGGAGTAGCTCTAGTGGAAGATACAATTAGAGAGAGTCGCCTTAGATGGTTTGGTCACATAAAGTTGAGGCCTTCCGATGACTTGACCTGGTTAGGAAAAGTAAATGTATTAGATTTGACTTATGTTAAGAAAGGTAGAGGTAGACCTAAAAAGATTTGGTTAGAAAATATTTGAAATGACATTTCTTTATTAGATTTAGACGAGAATTTGACTTTTAACAGGACACAATGAAGAAAAAAGATTAATGTAACCATCCCCACATAGTGGGATAAAAGCTTCTTCTTGTTGTATATTTTCATTTTTTTTAATTTGACTTTCTTTTCTTTTTGATTAATTATTGAATATAGATGATGTTGACACTCTCCATTGCTGACTTATATTAAGAAAGTCAGCTTGAATGTTTTATAGATGGCTCAAAATTGAGTCATTCATATTCGAGCTAACTTGATGTTTATAGTGAATTGATTTTAAGTTGAATTTGAATTAAGCTTGATTGTATGCTGTAAGCTTGAGCCGAGGTTGAATTTCCTAAATTCTAACTCATTGGCACCCCATATTGTTAGTTAGGAAACTTAACATATTAGTTGTATTAGAATTTGTTTTTGTAAGGTAACTTTATACATATTTATGATAGAAATAACATAGAAAATGGGAATACCCATAAGTTTCCTTGAAGATGCATAATGCAGTCATGCGTTAGTTGAATGCTAGTTAAAAACTCAAACAAAACAACCGTGCTTTTAGCATGAGATGTATAGTATTATCCTACTTTTTTTAGCTTTAATAACCCTCCATGTCAATATTGCAAGAAATAGTTTCGACGCTTGAAGGCTAGCATTATCATTTAATGGGTAAATCTGAAATCCATGTATCATTTTAGCACATTACTGTGGTAGTGGCAACAAATTCTGTTTATCATATTGATTAGTTGTTTTATTTTTTTGAAAAATGTCATAGTTGGTGATGGGAACTTTATTGTTTCTTTTTCTTAGTGAAATTCAATGAAAACGTGCAATGGAGAGTCACCCTGCATTGATTTTTTTGTAAGTTGGATATTCTTTGGCACTTGGAGTAGCATTTGAAATAGACCTGTGCTGAAACTTGCGACATCTATGGAAGAGTATGCTTCTTATTTCCATTACTTGACTGATTACTTCTTTTTTTTCCTGAAAACTACAGATTTATGTCTTCAGTTGGTACTTTATTTAACCTTGTTATCTATCTTCTTTATTTCAGAGAGAACTTGTTTGATCGTCTTCAACGCTATCGTCGTGATCGTCATGTGCTTCTAAATTTCGTTCTTTCTGGTAGTTTGATTAAGAAAGTTGTATTGCCACCTGGTGCTGTATCATTGGAGGATGTTGATATAGATCAAGTTAGTGTTGATTATGCTATAAACTGTGTCAGAAAGGGTAATGAATTCTCATTTCAAAAATCTTGCTAAATAAATTTTAGTGAAATATTTTGATGATTCTTTGGTGCGTAGGCGAAGTGCTTGATCTTGCCGAGGCCATTAGACTCTACCATGACAGCCTTGACTTCCCATCAACAGTAAGCTTAAACGTACTTTTATTTTTTTATGGTTGTGTGATGTATTTAATTGCATTGCATGGAAGTCATGCAGTTTAATAAAAAAAAATTATAAATGCTTGGGCTTTGATTTTTCAACTATTGTTAAACTTAGAAATGACTGGATTACTCAAATTACTATTTTTAGTTTGTTTTTTCTTGTATAAAGATACAGTCGCTCTAGAGGAAAATCTATTATGTTGCTGCATCTAATAGGAACCTCTGGCATTTTAGGCTAGCATTTGATTCAACTTCTATTTTTGTGTAGCCTATTATCTTTGCATTGATACCACAATTTTGCATACACTTCTGAATCTTGTTGCCTGCATGCATTTTAAATTTCTTACCAACTTCACTTACAGCTTTAAGGTGTACATAAGCTCATATGTTATATCTATTAAAGTATATTTGGCTATTTTTTTTTGAATTGTAACCAAGGTTGTGAAAATTAGACCGGACAACGAACCGGAAGAAGCAGAGGTTCACGGTTCGACCGGTCGAATTGAGGTCGAACCGAATGACATAATAAATAATAATAATATTAAAAATTAATTAAAGTAGCTTCACCTCCGCAGCCATTTAATTTCCTATAATTCTTATGGATTTCATTGAAACTTATTTCCTTCATAGTAAATTCTGTTTTCATATCGAACTAATCAAAACACCTAAATGTTTCTAAAATAATCCCTTGCATTTTTTATAAGCTGTTTGAATTTAAGAAACAGTTTTGTATCTAACCAATAACACATAACATAAATGTGATATCAATTAAGTCTATAAAACATAAACAAATATTTTATAAATAACTTAAGCAAGATTTATAACTAACCTAATAAATGGAGAGTAACTGTAATATCAACACCACCACCAAACGACGCACTTTGTGGCTCCAATTTCCCACACTAAGTGGTCTAACTATACTGCGGCTCCCCGTTCCCGCACAAGATGACCAAACGACATTGTATTGGGGAAGGATTGCATACCTATTGTTGAGCTTCTACTTTGCGTTGGGCGTTGAGGAATGTTTACCATTTTCAGTTCTCTTTCTCTAGCATGTGAAACTGTTAAAATTGAAATGAACAAAAGAAATTGAATATTAATTAAATGTTATGTATTACAAGTAAAATATAGTGAAGCATAATAATCAAATTGCATTTATACTATAATTTTTTTTGAAAAGAATCTCGCACTAAGAGTTATAGTAAAGTAAATCATGATTAGCATCATGGACTGGTTCAACATAATCAGTTCTGAAAAGTAATCAAAATAATCAGGCAATTGAATTGGCCTAATAAAATTAGAAACACATATTCATTAAATAAAGACAAAACAAACAATGGTTAATAGCTTTAAATAAATCAAGTACAATGCAAGGAGTCATGCTTTCCTGATAAATCATTTCTTAGATGAATCACAAATTAGATAATCCAGTAAGCCAATAGCTTGATAGGTTCTCGAGTTATAGTAACTCAATTTTATGACTACTAAAACAAAGTTAATGCCATTACTTTTTTTTTTTCAAATTGCATTAGATGCTTGGCTTAAATGAGAACCAACAATTATCAAATATAAAAGAGGAATATTGTTAAAAATAAGCTTAGGTAACTTCGCACTTTCAAATGAACAAATCTTTGGCTATTCAAAGAATACTATATTATATTAAAGTGATGAGCAAAAAAATTATAGAGAGGAAAAGCAGTTAGGCATTCAAATATTACAACATCTAAAATCCATGCATTCTGAAGAGCATATATATCCAAAAAGAATGCTAAATACGTTATTGTATTATCAATTTAAGAATTGGTTTAAAAACATTATTAAGGAAACTTCATAGTTGATATTATTAACAATAGTAAATTTTTCAAATTCTGATTATGAATGTAATGTAAATCACATAATATGATTCGAATCATACTATTGAGTAACTCGACAATTATAATATTAAAAAATGTATTGTTTAGGTAATGGATTAACTTGATTATTTTTTGATGGAGCTCACAAGTGATCTTATAAGTACCCAATTGCTCAATTGAGAATAAAAACAAATCTCACTGATTCAATGAACTGTGCTTGAATGCAAATAATATTTCTAGCAAATCTTATCAAACAATGAATAAAACAAACACAAATTCACACTGAAATGCACTAAAAATAGTCAATTACTTGGTTTTTGTGTGCCTACTGCTTATTGTCGAGGATGAAATGTCCGAGTTCCAACTTCAACAGCAAGAGTCCGAGGCAGAGTAGAGATTGCGAGGAGTACGAGTAATGAAGTGCGAGTCTCACACGGCTAGCGACCAACCGTGCCAAACCGAAAAGGTGAAAACTCACAAACAAAGAGTTGGGAGCAACTCACATGAGAGACGAAACTCTAGAACAAAATGTCGAAACTTGCGGGCCTACGACTGGGAGAGAAGAGGACGGAGAAGAAACTTTTGGAACGAGTGAACGAAAGCATGTGGCTGGGAGAGAAAAAGGGATCACATTTTTCTTCTTGGGCTTGCTCGAATTCAATTAGTGAAGCCGGGCTGCGTTTTCAGCCCTTAGATGTGCGATTAGTGGCTCGAAATGACAGATGTTTGAACCGGGTAGTTATCTATGCGGGCGGTCTGTCGGTTACCCAGTTCAGCCGCAGTTTTAGCTAGATTTTTATCTGGTTTGATTGCAAACCAATTCTTACTATTGGATCGGATCACTCGTCGGACCAGTCCTTGGTCCAATTGGTTGAACCGACTAGTCCGATCCGACTTTTAAAACCTTGATTGTAACTGTATAGTGGATGTTCTCAGTTTGTAGAGCCATTTTGAACATTATTTTGATTGTAGTTTGCTCTAATTTGTGGATTCCTTGTTTGCTCTCCACCATGGAATTTTGTACCATGAACTTACTTGCAATCAAATTGTCATAAGCACATTATTAGAAACTATTTGTAAAGGTTTATTGTTAAAAAGAAATCAGCCTTAGATTATAATTGTTCTAGTGCTTTATCAATGTTGAAATAAATATTGAAGTTGAAATTTTCAGTGTGAAACCTTTGTAGGAGGAGCTACATGTTTTTGTGAAGCATTCATCAAGTAACACATTCACACGTATATGTGCATTATCATGTTTCTAATCTCATGTTTATTGGAATTGACTAGTGATTGTTATTTCACTGCTTATTGAATTTATTTTCATTGTCTTATTAGAGTAACTTGGGATCCATGGAAGAATTCTTTCTGATTACAAACCCCGAGTCTTCTGGCTCTGCACCTTCACGGGCTCCACCATCTATTCCTGTTCCCATATCTCCTCCAATTTTGAATAATTTAGCAAAATCAGAATCTTTTCATTCTCAACATGAGGAAGAAGAGTTGACTGTTGATGACATTGATGACTTTGAGGATGATGATGATGATATTGATAATGCGATAAGCTCAAGACGGCAGTCAAAAGATTTTAGTGACCTAATGTTGGGCTTGCCTTCTTTTTCAACTGGTAAATATATTGCTTATTTCTTGTGAAATTTTTTGTTTATTCGATGAATTTGCTTAAAGTTACTTTAATTCTTTGAAACGTGGATACTGGCCACTAAAATCTGTGTGGCAAATAGATGAATTTATTCCTCCTAAGTTTAACGAGTATAAGAGCGCTTTTAACCCATATAATTTGTTGTAATAATTTATATCGTTACTCATGTTAAATGGATTAATTTCTTCCTTAGCCCACTTGAAGTTCTTCAACTTGACAATTTTCTGCTGCTTCAAACACCAGATAAAAATGGCACAGGAACGTTGTTCTCATATGTAACTTGGTTTCAGGGATGACGGATGATGATCTTCGTGAAAGTGCTTATGAAATTCTTGTAGCTTGTGCTGGTGCTGCAGGGTACCTTTTTTAATCTTTGATAGCGCTTACTGATAGCGCTTAATGATACGCGCTTTTCTAATTATTCTTGGAAAACATGCATGTATTATGCATTCTATTATTTGTTTTTCTCCCATATGATTGTTTTTGGATTCTGCTCATGCAGTGGTCTGATAGTGCCTTATAATGAAAAGAAGAAAGAATCAAAGAGAACAAGATTGATGAGGAAGCTTGCTCGCAGTAAGAATGACAATATTGCTTCCCATTCACGGCAAGCTCATGGGTTGGTTGGTCTGCTGGAAGTAATGCGAGCTCAGCTTGAGGAATGTTTCTTTCCTTTTTCCATCCTGTTCTTGTATTTATAGCTGAATAGTTTTTGAACTCCTGGGTATCACAAATGAATTAAAGGCCAACTGCTTTCTGCATTTGGGCAATATGCATTCCAATAGCCGTTATCATCATCACAATCCTTATTTGTTCAATATTTGTTAAAGCTTAGAGAATTGCATGAAATGTTTGATAAGATTGATGATGCTTAGAAACAGTCTTTTAACTTAATATCAAGTGTCTATCATATTTTTGCCAAGGTTGTGCTTGGAATTAGAGCCATTGATATATGAAGTTATGAACATTATGTATTCAAGTTCAATATCTCCTGTTCCCTTTTAAACACTTATGTGGCAATGATTAATTTTGCAATCATGAACTAAGATGACCACAGAACATGAAATACTGAGCTTTTTAGGTAGATGAGTGTAAAAAGCCATGCCCCAACTTGGTGCAGTTTTTTTTTGTAATTATCCTGCTAAAAGTTGAATAATCTGAATTGGTGCAGTTTCTTTTATTATTTTAAATGCCAAAATTGATTTCTGAGTTATTTTTGGACAGATTTCAGAGTCAATGGACATCAGAACAAGGCAGGGGTTGCTTAATGCTCTTGTAGGAAAAATTGGTAAAAGAATGGATAACTTTTTGATCCCAGTGGAACTGCTGTGTTGTGTTTCAAGAACAGAATTCTCTGATAAGAAAGCCTATCTTCGCTGGCAAAAGCGACAGGTAGTACAACATCCTTTTTTGGCTATTATGAATGGAATTTTGTTTATACGGGTTTTATCTTTCAGTTAAATATGTTGGAAGAAGGCCTCATAAATCACCCTGTGGTGGGATTTGGGGAATTAGGACGCAAAGTAAATGAATTACGGATTCTTCTCAGAAAGATTGAGGAGTCTGAGGTATGTATTTCAAATAGTTGAAATGCAGTTCAAGTTCCTTGCATTCTTTTCTTTTACTTTCCCAGTAAACGGGCCATTGTAAGCTTTGTAGTAGTCATGATGCAGCATGCTATACATGCTACAGTTTATAATTATTATACTTGTGAATGTGTTTGCTAGTCTCTTCCACCATCAGCTGCTGAAATTCAACGCACAGAATTCCTTCGGTCGTTAAGGGACATTTCTACTGCACTTGCGGAGAGGCCTGCTCGTGGTGATTTGGTTGGCCAAGTCTGCCACTGGGTGGATGGTTATCCGCTTAATGTGAGACTTTATGAGAAAATGCTCTGCAGTGTTTTTGATGTCTTAGACGAAGGAAAGTTTACAGAGGTTATATTTCTTTATTTTTAAATTTTGATTACAAATGTACAAAGTTTCTGAATTGGCATTAGCTGTGGTTATGTGTTCTCTGCCACATATTGCTCTTTAAAATTGCATTACAATTTTAGGAAGTTGAAGAAATCCTTGAGCTTCTGAGGTCAACTTGGCGAATTTTAGGGATTACAGAGACAATTCATAACACATGCTATGCCTGGGTATTATTTCGGCAGGTAAATAAAGTTACAGCATTGTTGCAATTACTGGATAATCTTTGCTTAGATTATCTATTCTTGACATTAAAAATTACAATTCTAATCCCTATTAGATTCTCCTATGGATACTCATGCGATCAAACTCAATTAGGTTCTGTGTGAAACTTATATATTGCTCTACAAAATTAAATTGCTAAAAATACTTACAAGAGATGTGAGACTTATATATTGCTCTACAAAATTAAATTTAGACTGTTATTCAGTTTCCTAAACCTCACCTGTTGCAGTAGTAGTTTTTGCCTCTTTTCTTTCTCTTTGCTAATGTGAAAGTATTACTTCTCTGGATTTGAACATTGTGGCTGGCAATAATGCACAAATTGTTACCTTGCTTAATGAATGCCTAAAAAATGGCTTATTTCAAGCCATCTTAATATACGACTGTATGCAAAACCTATGGTCTCTCCTGTTATATATATACATATCATGGACTCTAAAAGATCCCCACTTAGGTTTGATATTTTCATGATGCAAATTAGATAATAGATAAAGAAATATTTAAAGATATTGTTTTCATAGATGACTTTATATTTCTAGTTTGATGCTTCCCATGGGGAAAAATCCTCATGCTTAATTACCTATTGATAACTAGAATAAACTTTTGATCAAGACTCGTTTATAGGATCTATGAGCGTTGTTTGTTTGGGTTGACCAACAACAACTTGAATTGAGGAGAGAAATATACATTGATACTGGCTAAGACATGATGATTGGAAAATGAAGAAAAAGTTTGATCAAGATATTATGATTTCATCATTCGAGTCATGAATCACAACCTACTTAATTAGAGGAGTTAGGTTACACAACCTATTTCTAATGATCATTATCAACAATCATGAGTTATGTTGCCCATGTGGATTATGTAGGCCTCTTGTTAAGCTTCCTTAAGAGGCCAATTGTTGACCTTGGTTAATTGAAGGCTTCATGTCTTATCAAGTGCATCTTATTGCTCAAACTTATAAATTTTGTCATTGGGGAAAATTCAGGCTCGGACATTTTTATGATTATCATGGTTATGGGATACACTTTAAGCATGACCATGTGATGATGGGAGATTGACGCTTCCTTATTGTTATGATATTTTTGAGTGTGATCTTATGAATACAAATGATTGACACTATCTCATTGTGAGTTTTGGTCAAATTTGAATTTATTACCTTTGACAAATTGGTTTGAAGGGTGGATATATGGCTACGCTTAGCACATAGTGATCGATTATTGGTTAAGCTTTTGGGATTTTTTTGAGGGGATTAAATTTAGATTGTTGAGACTTGAATTTTGGTTCTAAGCTCCCTCATTTGAAGTTTTCTTTGCTTGTGCCTTTCATCGACAAGTGATTCATGCTAATGATCAAGATTTATTCATGGATTTAGGGAGTGGTGATGATGACAACGATCTTTTATGACGATTGCTTCAATCATAAGAGAAATAGATTCTTTGGAGATTTGTTATTATTTTTGTGATGAGGATTCATATTGATTATACTTTTAATAATCATACCCATCATCAATAATTAACAACATTTTTCTTTAAGTACCAGTATGCACCTCAGTGCCTGCAAGAAAAGAATTGTGTATTTCAAAGCAGGTACCCCCGAAGACCCATATATGCCTTTCTTGGCATGGTGAGATTAACCACGACCGCGATGTCGTTTGATACCCACCATTCACAGTTTTCTTAGTGTGATGGGAATGCCCAGCTCCCCAAATTTCCCCCAAACAGGGGAGACGTTGGGATGCTGCCGAAATTTTAACTAACAGAAGACCTGTATCTAAACAAATACGCAGGAGACTTGTATGAATAATAGGGGACCATACTTGAACTGGACAACAGAGAACAGAACCCTAAACATTAAAATGCACAATAAAATCAAATGCAAATGATAAATGACAATTTAATGAGTTCAAACAAGTACAAAGCAACAAACAGGGACTCGTGGCGAGAGACCTTCAAATATGAATAACTTGCAAGCAACCTTAATCAACTGTGAAATGCATGGACACCTACATGCAATAATGGGAGGCTTGTTGAGCGAACAACCATTAACATGTAGTTGAAGTGGTGACACCTGCAATTAATGGTGGATGCCTATCATGCATATAGTAGACCAAATGAAGACGACAGCAAGCAACAAACACTGAATGCAGCAATGCCTTGTAATCAACATTAATAACTTGCACGTAACTAATGTTACTGCAGACAAGTATGTTTGGCTATCTATGAATGATGATAGTAGACATTCTGCAAGTATAATGCTTTTCTTGCAAGCATTACAATAGAAGTACAAGGAACTTATGAAGTGATAGTTTGTATGCAAGCAAGTATCAAGGATCTGCTGCAAGCATGAACACTCGCAAGCAACCATAGGAAGCCCGTCAAGCTACAGTAGTCCAGCTACGGGTGACGACAAATAATGTGTAGTAGATGCCAGATCACCCTTGCAATCACCTACCATTCAGCGCCAGACAATGACACTTATATCTTGCAAGCAAAGGTGGTTGACTTGCAATAGATGTAAGCATCTACGAGTTACTATAGGGGACCTATCACACACACCAAATGCTACCAACGAGCATATATAGAAGAGTTATAATGCAAGTACTTACAAACAGTGTTGGAGAACCTACAATGTACGCAACATCTTGCCAGCAAAAGTGGTGAGTGATTTGTAGTATCACTTGCGAAGAATAACAGATGACCCATCTGAAAAAGATGGAGTTGAAGCTCTATTGCTCGATTTGCTTGAATATTTTGGACAACAAATGTTGTCACCTTATGATCATACTGTGTGTAGTCCTTGTGAGGGGATATCCACAAATAATGGATACAACTGTCCTGATTGCGGGCTACTACCTCATGAATGCAAAGTTTTGAGACCTATCACTCATATTGAAAAGTTCCTTACCATCTACAAAAAAATTGGGTTAAGGACGAATCGGTGTAAGGAGAAAGCCTGCAGACGTATCACCAGAGGAAGGTCCCAACTATAACACCAAGCATACAAAATTGAATGATTTTATGAATGATTCTATAGTGTCAAAGAAATGAGCAGTTGAAGAAAAAAATGTCTCTCATTCTAACATCTTTTCCGAAATACTGAGATTTTTAGAGAAATGCCATATCATTCGAATATATATCTGGAGATCAAGCCTTGCAAACCAATGCCCTATATATGCATCACAAATACATAGAACGAGCCCCTCGAGCATATCATTCTGGAGCCGTAGAAGAAGTTTCTATGTACCATGTGTATATCAGATACTAGAATATCGTTGAGATATCAAAGATGATCTTGTACTCTGTTATGTCCATGCTTTGAGAAGACTACATTGTGATGAGTTGAAGACAAAGTAATATAACTATGCATTAGTCGAGCCTTTGATCTCATTAGCTTATGATACCTCATCTATCACAAAACGACCTCATGTCGTTTGGATGCCCTTACCCAGTCTAAGCAAGGATCGGGTTCGAATCTAAACTCATTTCTTAACCCACGATATCCTCAAATGTCACATGTGTGCCTGCAACACGCTCATCAGGGCTCATGCTGGTGTATACTGTTGAATGCATTTTGCACGGTGCATTTATATGATTGTTATATGTATGCATGATGTTGTTAGAATGAAGCCCTCTGCATATTGAAAATGCATACAGGAGGATACTTTGAAATGTAATTGCAATATCAAATGACATTCTTGAATGAAACCCCCTGCATCCTGTCAATGCATGCAAGAGGGTGCAAGAGGTCATTTTAAATTATGATTGTAATGTCAAATGACACACTTGAATAAAACTCTATGCATCTTAACGTTACATGGAGAAGGTCATTTTAACATGCAATTGTAATATATAATGATATACTTGAATGAAATCCTTTGCATCCTAACGATACGGGCAGGAGATTATTTTAACATGCAACAACAATGTTGGATGACAAGCTGGAATGAAACCCTCGACATCTTACAAATACATGCTAGAGGTTATTTTGGAATGCAATAGCGATGCTGGATGACATGCCTATATAACGTATTATGTAAGTTATGACACATGCATATGCAACATATTAGCATGTAAATTCAATGCATTTGTTATAATTAAATGCATTTCGCGATGCTGAATAACATGTTTAAATGAATTATCTTGTATGTTGCAATGCGTGTATGAGAGCATTTTAAAATATCAGGCACTAATCAATTGCGTGGACAACTATCGTTTGAAGATGCACAACATTATATTTAGGAGGTTATATTCGCCTTCTGTCTGCTTGTACGAGTGCTTTTATAGGTTGAAGGTTGTTTGCACAACAAGCTTCTCATTATTCCATGTGGGAGATGTCCATGCATTTCACAGTTGATTGAGGTTGCTTACAAGTTATTTATGTTTGAAGGTCTCCTGCCATGAGTCCTTTGTTTGTTGATTTGTATTTGTTTGAATGAGTTAGATTGTCATATATCATTTGCATTTTGATTTTATTGTGCATTTTAATGTTTAGGGTTTTGTTCCATGTTGTCCAGTTCAAGTATGGTCCCCTGTTATTCATACAAGTTTCATGCACATTGTTTAGATACATGTTCTCTAACGGTTGAAATTTTGGTAGCATCCCAACGTCTTCCCCATTTGGAAAAAATTTGGGGAACTAAGCCTTCCCACCATGCTAAAAAAATCATGTATGGTAGGTGTTTAGCGACACCGCTGTTATGGTCTTCAGTCCCACCACGCCAAGAAAGGCGTGTATAAGTCTTCGGGGGTACCTGCTTTGAAATGTACAATTCTTTCCCCACAGGCGCTGAGGCACGTACGAGTACTTAAAGTTGTCCTTGCCCCACGAGGAAAAGCGTGTATAGAGCCTGTCGCCTTGTCATAGGTGTTGCACCGAGTTCTCTTCTACTGTGCTATTAAAAACGCGTATAGGTGGTTTCCCGGGGTATCATGCGAGCCGAGGGTGGGGTTTGGAACTTTATACATTATTAATCATTTTGAGTTTTATTGATAATATTTGATCATTAACTACATTGTCTGCTATTGATAATATTAGATTGAGCATATCATATTGATTTTTTAGTCATTGTGTTGAAAGCTTTAAGGTCCTAAGGAGTTTTCGATTACTATTGGGCTTTTGAGCTCATTATGTGAATTTTTAATGATTTCAGGTCCTGGAAGGGGTCATGACTAGTTAGAGTGAGATTGCCACATATCCTTAAGTTTTCTTTAAATTTTGCTATGTATTTTTATTTATTCTTTTGTAGCTTGAAGCTTGTGATAGATTAGTGATAGAGTGATCTCCTGGTTAGTGTAAATGACATTTTGAGTGAATAAATAGTAAAATATATTGATGTATATGGTTTTAGTTGATTTCGCTGGTTATTATTTATATTGATGATTTATTAAAGCTATGGTATATTCTTAAAATGATAACTAGACAATTCTTATAAATTTCATTATGGGGCATTACACGAACACAAGGCCTTCAAGCAGCTGGATCGAAAGGGGCGTGGTCGTGTCGAAGAAATAGGAAGGGACATCGTCGAAGGAGGCGTGAGAGTAGTAGGGCTTGAATCGGGAGGTGACGTCTCTCGTGAGCTAGATGTGGCAAAGGTAGGAGACAAGTCTTCGGTCAGAGGCTGACCGCGGCTTTGGAATGGGATTTGGAAGTGCAGACGAATGTAGTTTGGCTTGTTAAGGGTCGAACGAGTTGTATTCGGCCGGTGCTTGCACTAGGGAGTTTGGAGGCTTGTGGGAGAGGGATTTGGCCTATCTACGTGTGGCTGGAGGGATCAGAATAGGTTTTGATAGTGGATGTGCTCACGGATCGGTCTCAAGTTGTCGAGGCTAGATGTCAGATGAAAGGATTAAACAACACACAAGATATTTGGTTGGGTAGGGCTTCAATTGCTCATATGGTTGGATCGAAGCAGGTGGATGGCTGGGTTAGTCGATTAAGGGACAAGGGTCAGATGCCGGAGGCGTGCAAGACTTGCAGAATATTCGGATCTCTCATGCATGAGGATTTTAATTGAGGAAGAGAGATTGAATACTTCATTTCTTCCTCATTTTAACGACACAAGCTGGGGTTTGATCGAGGTAGAACAAAGGTGATGTGACGGGGATGAATTGAGTTGGCATTAGATTGTGCAGAGCTCGTCATTGACGTGAGAATTCGTGGCCGGACGCCGGGTTGCTGGTGAGGTTAGGTGTCGGATCTGATCTCGTTTGATTTATTTTACTTTATTTTAATTCAATTAATAATAATAATAATAATAATAATAATAATAATAATAATTAATAGTAGAGATCACGAAACGAGAATTTGACTTAAAAATGCGCAATTTCCTTGATTTTTGTGCATCGTTGTCTCAAAATCCATGCCGATTCCCTCACGCAAATTTCATTGGACAAAATTATAGTCCATTTTGAGTATTGTCGATGCTCTGAATGCAACGACAAAGTCCGTTTTGCGATCGAGCGTTGTTTGAGCATTGTCGTGCGTCGTTTTCTGGCATCAGTCGTTGATTTGAACTAGTCTCGTCTGATTCGACCGTGAGGTGGTCCCACTTAGGCGAATTCGACGTCCTGATCGCAACGGCACACTGTTTGGCAATTGGAGGTCATTTGGCCCTTCAAGTGTTGTGCCGCGCTGATGCACACGCCACTTAATTCACTGATTTTGTTCTTTTTACACGTATTTTAACGTTGGGGTCAACAATCATGTAACAAACTAAAGGCTCGATTAGATCTCTTTTGATGTATTTGCATTCCACTTATCCCTTTTAGTATTTCAGTAGGTGGGAGCAGGTATTACGGTTTTCTTAGCAGAACAACATATAAACTATGGGGATGCATTGATCCCTTGATTTTACCCTTGAATGATTGTATTCTAGGACTGTGGTTGGGTGCTTGATATGGATCATGTGACAGCCTGGAGCATATGCTGTCATTCCCATTTTATTGGTATTTTTACTGTTTTCCCAATAAATACTTCACAATTATGTTTTTTCATCAATGAGATTTGAGATCTCTCAAAAAATTGATATCTCAGCAAATTTTATTTTTATTTTATAAAAGTGAATTAGACTTTAATATTCCCTTTGATTATTTCCATAAAACTATTTTTTCTGAACATTTTCGAAACCAGTTTGTTATCACAGGGGAACAGACACTCTTACAAATTGTAATTGATCACTTAAGGAAAATTCCATTGAAGGAGCAGAGGAGTCCACAAGAAAGATTACACTTGAAGAGCCTTTGTTGTTTAGTTGAATGGGACGAGAGGTCTCAAAAGCTTACATTTCTACAGTCTTTCTTGTCTCCAATTCAGAGATGGGTTGATACGAGGCTAGGAGACTACCATTTACATTTCTCTGAGGTATGATTTCGTTAAGATAATACTGATTTACTTCTATTTTAATAATCATTGCGCTGTTGCTTTTGTGACTTCTTTAATGTTATTTCTAAATGAGCCTAAGATTATGCAAATATATTGTTAATGGCTAGCATGTGGTAGTTGCTCAGAGATGTTCTATTTTTACTTCAGAGAATTTATTCCAAATTGGAATTTACACGACTAGTGATGCAGAGCGAAGTTGGGGATATTATCAGCAGAATTCAAGTTGGATGGTTGAAGTGGAGGAATGCATCGGGCTTGTTATGTGATAGAAATGTACCCCTCAAACTTAAGGGAAAATTCTATAAGATGGTAGTGAGGCCTGCAATGCTTTATGGTGCCGAATGTTGGCCTTTAAAAGAGAAGCATAATACTAAGTTAAGTGTGGCAGAGATGAGGATGCTCAGGTGGATGAGTGGCTTTACCCTTAGAGATAGGATACGAAATGAGCATATACGTGAAAAGGTTGGAGTAGCTCCAGTAGAAGATAAGATTAGAGAAAGTCGCCTTAGATGGTTTGGTCACATAAAACGGCGGCCTTGCGATGACCCGGTTAGGAGAGTAGAGGTATTAGATTTGACTTATGTTAAGAAAGGTAGGGGTAGACCTAAAAAGACTTGGTTAGAAAATATTAGGAATGACCTTTCTTTATTAGATTTAAACGAGAATTTGACTTTTAATAGGACACAATGGAGAAAAAGGATTCATGTAGCCGACCCCACGTAGTGGGATAAAGGCTTGATGTTGTTGTTGTTGTTGTAGTGATGCAGAGCGAAGAAACGGGAGAATTATTGAAGCCTTGAGCAATTTAAGGAGAAGTGAGTAGAAGAAGAGAAGGAGAGGGAAGTTGAGAGAGAACCAAGCACTTATCCTAAGAGAGAGGAAGAAGCGTGCCAAGCATTATTTCATTCAATATCAAATTCTATTTTACTTTAACCCTTGGACTTCTATTTACAATTGAAGATTCTATAAGAGAAGATTAGTTATTAAATTTATATTTAACAATGATTAATCTTACCCTAAACAACTATCAAATCGCTATTTTGACTGTGATAATTAAAATAGAGATTATAGATAAATAAAAAATAGAAATGCAATGACAATTAAATTAAAATACTAAGACATGATACAATCAATGTTTTCCCTACATCAAAGAGTCATATTGTATCTATGAACTTCCAAGTATTTTTGAAGTTTTTTGTCTTTCATATAATCAGCAACCAAAGCTTTTTATTAGTACATATTACACACGTAAACATTCATACATAAGTATCAACTACTTGTGTTCGTGGTGCATTGGTTAGAAGGAATCATCCATTACAGTATTTATATAATAGCGAAACTCTTGAATATCAGCCACTTATATAAGAGGGGTTCCTTATTTCCTTGCTTTAAGTTGCCTTAGTTTGAGGGCACATTTGAGAATGTATTTTGGCAGCTTTTTTTCTAGATGAGATTACTAGTTACTTTATTCATGCCAAATAACAAAACACAATACTTGATTGATGCAGGATTGTAGTTGCGGATTCTATGGTAGTTTAGCTGCTTCTTTCTCCCTTATTTGTTGGGAACTTTGTCACTACTTGCACCTTTTGCTTTCTTTGCAGTGCTTCTTGTGGTTGTTTGAGCGGCTTTTTGGGGGATTATAGTGTCTATATGGAATTGTATCACTCACGGTTTTTTGGCGTGTTTTTCTATTTGATGTTTATATGATTTTGTGTCTGGGTGTAGGCCCTTAGATAATTTTTTGGTTCTAGTGCTGTAGTCGCCTCCTATGCTAATTTTTGTTTTCCTTTGTGAAGATGTGGCTTGCTAGTATAATTTTTAAATAAAAAAAATCTATAAATGTATAGTCATGGGGATGTAATTAGAAGTTTTTGATTGAATAAAATTTCTTATTTTAGTTTCAATATTTTGTGCATGTTGGATGTGTGATTTTGTCTAGATTAATACAAATGCGAATACTTAATTTTGGGGAAGTCCTCTTTATATCATTTTGAGGTTCGAATTTCGTTTACTTTAGAGAATTATTCTTTTGAACTAATTTTCTAAATATCTTTTTATTAGCTTGCTAATGTTATGATTTTTTTTTTTAAATTGATACAACTGTGATTTTAATTGCGGTAAATAAATTAGAATTGCCCATTGATTTTATATGATCCTGATTTGTTATTGATTTTTTTTTAATATTTATTTGATTATTGCATTGTCATTTGAGTTATAATTCTTTGAAATCAACTTCCGTCACTTGTATATATTATTTTCTATAGTAGGAGCTTAAAAAACATGTAGTATTTGAGTTTCTTTACAAAACATGTAGTATTTGATGTGCAGGAGCCCACAACGATGGTTGAGATTGTAGCTGTGGCAATGATCACTCGAAAAATTTTAATCGAAGAAAACGAAGAAGTCAGTTAATTTTTCTTTCCTTTCCGTATTATCTATTATTTTGTGTTGAACAAAGATTGCCGTTGGGCCGAAAAGTATACTTTCCTCGCTTATTACTCTTTATATTCTGATTAAATTTTTTTTTTTAATTTATTTGTTTTGAGAAAACGGCATAATGAAAATATAATGCAGGCGATGGAACTGGATGAAAAAGAATGGATTGATACTTACATTTCATCTTCTATTAAATGTGCTTTTTCAAGGGTGAGCGTCTGCAATCAAAGTCATATCTCTTGGCCGAGTTTTTCCATTTGAATGCAAGATTTTATTCTTGCTGCTTTATAAACTTGCTCATTAGTACATCAAAGGAAACTCGTATTCTATTTTCTTATTCCTCTTACGGATTCAGGTACTTCTATGTCTAGCATAATCTAGAAATACTGCGTGCTACCTGCAGATTACACATTCTATTGAAACTAAGTTGGAAACTACACATGAACATGTCTTGGCATGTCTTGCTGAAGAAAACAAAAAGCTTTTGAAGAAAGACTCGACCACATTCTCGCCTATTTTATCACGTTGGCATCCACATGCAGCAGTTATTTCTGCATCTCTTCTTCACAAACTTTATGGTCATAAATTGGTGAGTTCATTGTAAATCAACTACATTTATGGGTTTTGTCAGTTTGGATAATGAACTTCCTTCTTGGGGTCTCACTTGTTTTTTTCATTCCAGAAACCATTTCTTGATCGAGCTGAACATCTTACAGAGGATGTTGTATCCGTGTTTCCTGCAGCTGAAAGTTTTGAACAGTATGTGATTATGGTGATTGCTTCTGCATGTGGAGAAGCAGATTTGGACGACTACTGCAAAAGAAAATTAATCTTGTACCAGGTTTGCATGTCTTCTGATTTGTAATTTCCGATCCAATACTGAAATACTTTTTTCTTTTATCACGAAGTCATGGAATTCTATTGATGCATAACTGTCTCTTTCTTGTATTTGTGTTGATGCGTAAAACTTAATGTTCGTCTAGTCAGTGGATTATCTTCTAAAAATCAATAGAACACTGTACAACTGTTGACCTACGCACAGAGCCTGAAATTCCGCCCTAATCTTGTAATTTCGTACCTGCTCGGCACGAACACCGCTCTTTGCACAATTCTTGCTGAAATCCAGCTCGAGGAGGCCCACTCTCATTATAAAAAATGAGAGGAATGACGAGCTCCTGCTCTTCTTCCTCTGCACACGAGCCTCCTCACGATCGGCCCTCTCTTCCACTTTCGAACTCCCTATGCGGATCTCCACTCAACCTTCCGCCTCTACCTCATATCCCAGATCCTGCAGTCTCTGTTCGACTCAATCAGCCGCAAGCCAACCTCCTCATAGCCCTCCGAACTCCAGCTTGATCCTGACTACTATGCCGATACCTTCATTATACTCGACCCAGCCTACTCAAACACTTGATTCCTGTCCTACCTCCAGCTGTTAGAACCCGGCTCCGAGATCCCACAGATACTGTGCCGTTTGTGTTAGTATTAATAGAATTTGAGAGGGAAAAATATTCTTCCAATTATTATACAAAATTATCCCTATTTATAGATATATACAAGATGTTTTAATAAAGAAACAAAAACTATAGAATCATGCATAATTATCTCAATTTAATCCTTACTCCTTCCTAAATCAGCCACCCAAATATAGAAGGAGATTGGCGTGATCCATGTGAGCCTCCCACGGATTCTCATCCTGACCGTGGGATTAAGTGCCAAGGAACGACTTCTAACACCCCACAGTAGTACTTAAAAGTATTGTCAGGTATCACTAGCATAACCTCCATTTCTACATCATTAAACATTAACATACAATTCTTTCAGTAGAGATTTATAAAATTCTAATAACAGATTATTCACTGAATACACGGAAGCATCTAAAATTCAAGTTACTCCAAATATAAACTTACAGAGCCACTACAATAAACTACTCATACCAGATTGAAATGTTTTCATACATCCAAAAGTAGACTTACTAACAAATATAACTTTAACATGAAATGAAGAAACACTTGCATAAATCAACTCGCATCAATCTTTTCCTTTCCCTTTACTGTAACAACAGCCAGTAAGAAAATACCAGTGAGCTGTGAGGCTCAAAAAGCTATGCAACTTTAAAAGAAATTTAACTTGCATGACTATAAACTTCATATCATTAAAAATATAAATAAAAGATAAATTATTTAAGACAATTTCATAACATCTCATTTGATATTAACCTTTATTTTCTCTTTAATCCATACTGAATATCAATTTTACTCATTAAAAGATTTGGCTGCTCTTTCATATACATATTCAATGGAGCCCAGATAAACCTGACATTATCGTCATTGAAGAATATAGAGGTCCCTTTTGTCTCTTTAGGTGTTCCTTTTGCACTACCTGCTATGCAAGTATTATTATTTTGGGGTCCCTTTTGCCCCACTTACAAGATAATCTCATGTTTGAGAACCTTTTTGCCCTAACTACACTTGTAAGTCATACATCATTTGTAACCAAACTTTACTTTAAAGTGATATTTAATATTAGTTTTTATAATCATAGATCATACTTATTTTGATGCATGCTTCCATAATCATTTATGTTCTAATCTGCACATAATTAAAATTGCATATCATATACAAAGAAATTGATATCTTTCCAAAACAATATCAAATAGGAAAACTTTTAGATTAACATATAGAACCTTATTTTACCCTTACCTGGTTAAATTATGCATCCGGTCATTCATACTTGGAAACTTGCATGAAAAATCATTTATATATATTAAACAAGTTTAAGAACCTTTCACTTTAATACGTTCAACATTAACCATCTTGATTATAATTAAAAGTCATTCTAATTGAATATGAATGCATTACTTACCTCCTTGCCTAGTCATCTCCTCCAAATCTCCAATCCTCTACTTTGAATTCTTCTAAGATTGTAAGTTACTTCGAAGCTTTCTCTTTGCATAAGACCAAATTTATCTATGACACCATAAGTTATAACATCTTTAAGAACTCTTACTATTAATTGGAAATCCACACTAAGCACATACCAAAAGAACTTACCTTGATTTCATTTTCCTAAAGTTTTCTTCTTCCTTCAATTCTCATTACTCCTCTTTTATTTTCCTTAAGAGTTTTCTTTAAAAAATTCTACTCCTTATAACTGTGCTAAAAAATTATAGATCTTAATAATATACTTAAAATTTCATTGATACACATTTTGAATTTGATCACAACTTCACTTACCCGTAGTTATTCTTTATATTGGAATTGCCGAATATCTCCTCTCAGAAACGGGCTTCACACTTCAGCCATTCACAAAGACAAACAATGCTACAGTCCCTCAGTTACTGTAGCGAACTTGCTTCAGAGATTTTTGGCACTATACCGATTCCTGCTACAGGAAAAATTGGCCGAATTCCTTTATGTTGAACACTTCTATGAGTTGATTTTCTCAATAGGAATTCTGTACCAATTGAATCTTCACAGCAATGCTAATTCCTTTCCCACCACAGCATTTCTCCATTCTCTTTTTAAGCCCGTAACTGCACTTCTCATGTGTCCCTTGGCTGCTTCTAAATTCCAAACAGAGAAGTAATGAGGGAGGGCCCACACAAACCCATAACTGATTTCCAAAACAATTCTCAACCCTTTGATGTCTCAACCATTTTCTGATGTCTAAACAGCAGTTATTATCCATATAATGCATCGTTTAAACAAATTTGAGAATTTGTTTAATTTAATAAAATACATTACTAAAAAAATAACTTTTAATATTAATACAATAGGAAGTTAACATTAGACTTAATTTATATTTTATCTATATTTAAACCAAAATTAACAACAAAAATTTTGTACCTGAAACTCGGATCTTACACGGCTGAGATTTTGACACTCCCCCTCAAGCTGGAGAATATAGATCTGTCATTCATAGCTTTGTAATTAGTCGCAAAGTGGTAGAGCTAACAAGTCCCTTGGTGCACCATAGAGTAGGGTTGCAAATGAATCGAGCCGAGCCGAGTATGTGAGTGTTCATGTTTGTGTTCGTTTAATATCAGCTTGTTCAAAATGAGGGAGGGCCCACACAAACCCATAACTGATTTCCAAAACAATTCTCAACCCTTTGATGTCTCAACCATTTTCTGATGTCTAAACAGCAGTTATTATCCATATAATGCATCGTTTCAACAAATTTGAGAATTTGTTTAATTTAATAAAATACATTACTAAAAAAATAACTTTTAATATAGATATGTCAATAGGAAGTTAACATTAGACTTAATTTATATTTTCTCTATATTCAAACCAAATTTAACAACAAAAATTTTGTACCTGAAATTCGGATCTTACACGACTGAGATTTTGACACTCCCCCTCAAGCTGGAGAATATAGATCTGTCATTCCTAGCTTGGTAATTAGTCGCAAAGAGGTAGAGCTAACAAGTCCCTTGGTGCACCATAGAGGCATAGAGTCCTCTATTTGGTCAAAACTTTGGGTGGAATTAGCTTCAAACATTGTGACAACGACAAATGATAGCGATGAAGGCTATATCAATCAAGCCTACAAGGTGTGGGGTAGCAATGAAAGCTGTGTTGAATAGTAGCCCTCAAGATATCGGAAATGGCAATAAAGGCCGGTGATGGGACAACAGAAAAAATGGATTCATTATCCTTCGGGTCAATCTCTCTCGATACTCAAGGGAATGCTGAGAATGAAGGCGCGACATTTGCGACAAGCTTCAAGGACAAGAGCAGATTTCAAGCGACTCAACACTTGGTACACAAACCTCCTCCTTCCCAGGTAATCCGACTCCACCTGAACAGACTCCTGTTTGATCAGCCAGTATAGGTGCATGCAAGGCCTCTGATCCCTCTGGTTTGCTCGTAAGAGGGACTATAGCTCTTGCACTCTTGCTTGTCCCTGCTCTCGCATGAGAGGAAACTCTCGGCTCTTTCCAGACACAAGCAGGAGGTCTTGCGCTCACTTCTGCTTGGTCGACTTTAGACGCCGCACACAAGAGGAGCCCTCCTGCTCTATTTCTCCTTAGTCTTGGATGCACGAAGCCAAATTTCGACAATGAAGGCCGATGGTAGGAACTTGTATTCCTCATAATTCTGGCAACGAAGGTCGGTGGTGATGTAACTTCCTTTTCCCTTTTAAGTAGGTCTTCACAAATTGAAGCCTCTTTAGATAGTTCTTCCCAATTAGGCGATAGGAAGGTTGCATGCTTTGGAGGTCACCCGGTCCTTGGTGTATCATAGATTCTTCTATTTGATTAAAGCTCTGGGCTGAATTTTCTTCAGACATCGTGGTGTTATACAAGCAATAAAGGCTGATTTGATTATATCAGCAATAAAGGCTGATTTGATTATATCAACAATAAAGGTTGATTTTGTTATATCAGCAATAAAGGCTTATATCGGGTCTAGGTCTCAAATCTGATTTAAGACTTCTTGCTGTTGTCGGCCCGTCCCAGATAATCGAGAGGGGTGTCTCTATGGATTTGAGCGGAATAAAAAAATCAGAAAGAGCTTCATATCGAATCGTTCGAGCGAGCGTTCGGGCGAACTTCTTCTCCTGGTTTCTTCCGAGTGTCCAATTGTCCGAGCGGAACCTTCCTGCGTCTGGAGGCTGGAGCGTGGCTTTGGCTTCGTCTTCCGCTTTCAGCTAGGGAGGTCGCGCTAGGTCTTCCGCAAGCTTCGTCTTCCGGTTTCAGCTGGGGCCTTTTGCGACAACTTCTGTCTTTGGTAAAGCTCCTCTCTACGACATCCATCGGCAAGGCTTCGTCCATCGTCCTTTGGCAAAGCTTCGTCCGACAGGAGAGACTATACATAGGGGCGCACTCTCGACTAAACCCGGAGGCTACCATTCACTTCGCTATCTCGTGAACAATTTTATAAATGACATTTAAGTTTATTTTGACGACATCTAGATATCTGCTAATTCTGTTGGCATCCAAATGTTAAGCTATTTGACGATTAAAATAGATGATGACAAAAAGAAGCACTTATATTTCTGCTGATATTTTAGAATAATATTATATTGTTCAAATAAAACAATATCTAATCAGAGACTCCACATTAAATAGATAGCACATCCATTTAAATAGCATGGTTATCTATATAACACTGTTTTCTAAATAACCATCTAAATACTTTTGAACCAAACAACCCTAGGAACGATTTGAATGCGTGCAACTTGATTTTTTTTTTGCATATTAATTTAGAACTTACCATCCAAGTAATTCCAAATTGATGGGAGAAAGCTTATGGGAATATATTTGATTGGATATTGAGGAAGTATTATGTTGGAAGCTGAGGATGCAAAGGGATTTGTGGAAAACAGAAAATATGTGAGAGCGCAATATTTGCAAAGTTGGGTTGAATATTGGGTAAAGTAAAAGAGGGGTTTTGTTTGCAACATGTGATGCAACTGTTGCGTTGAGGTGTTAAAACAAGGATAGCATCAAGTTAGAGTCCATGAAGTAGAGTTGGTAGGGAATTATCTCAAGGAGACCTAGAACTCTTATTTATTAAGTTATGAAAGTCAAAGAGCAAAAAATAATAAAATCCACAAGTAGAGATCAAAAAGAAAATTATGACAATGATGTGCATGAAGTAGAGTTCTGTAAACCATCAAGTTTAAACATCATGACATCCTCATTTTTAAACTTCTATTCTGCATTTCAAACAAAATATATTCAGTTACCATCCTGCACACTTTCAGTTTGATGGGCTGTGCTTATCTCATAAGAAGACTTTTACACAATTAATTGGTCCTGCGTTTGGATGGATTTCATTAATTGATTTATTCTTTCCATTGTTCTCTGAAATATTTATATTATTAAATTAAGCTTTCTTGTGATGAAAGGTTGAAACCACATCTGGCATGTTGATCTTAAGGTGGATGAACTCACAACTGAAGGGAATTGCTGGCTGGATTGAACGGGTCATTGAAAAAGAGGTGGTTGCCTTTGTTGATTTATTTTTAATTCTTTTTAAGATGTTTGTTATGAGATGTTGCTGGTTGCAATCTTCATTTATTTTGGCTGTTTTGACTTGTTTGCTTGTTATATATCATCCCTAGCTCTAAATAAGGAATCATGAAATTTGATACAATAACAACAACATCAAACCTTTATCTCACTACGTGTGGTCGGAAATTTGATAATCATATATTTAATTGCTCTACTTAGAACCGCACAGTTTCAACATGGCAATGCTATCCTATTGAAACATAAACTTTCGGGTCCAATAAGTTGTACTGATGCATATAATTAACATTTAGCTCAAATTGAGGGTTTGTGATTTGTTCTCGGGACATAAAAATTTACTCTGTGTAGCCATTAATAAATTATGATGCTATGTGCATCTTTTTCTTATCTGCCTTGTTGGATCAAGTGATCCAAAGATAAGAGGTTCTAGATCTAGAGGTCTATCATGCAATACAACAACAACATCAAGCCTTTATCCCACTACGTGGGGTCAACTACATGAATCGTTTTTCTGTGTCAATTTCTCATTTAAATCTAATAAAAAAAGGTCATTTCTAATATTTTCTAACCAAATCTTCTTAAGTCTACCTTTACCTCTGTTACCATGCAATAAAATGGGAATATTTCTTAGATTCTAGATTTAAAGTTTTTTGTTTGTAGTGTAAAAGTTCTTTACTAGTAGTATACAACAACAACAACAAGCCTTTATCATACTATGTGGGGTTGGCTAATTGAATCCTTTTTCTCCATTGTCCTGTTAAGAGTCAGATTCTCATCTAAATCCAATAAAGAAAGGTCATTTCTAATATTTTCTAACAAAAACTTTTTAGGTATATCTCTACTTTTCTTAACATAAGTCAAATATAATACATCTACTTTCCTAACCAGGTCATCGGAAGGCCGTCGTTTTATGTGACCAAACCATCTAAGACGACTCTTTCTAATCTTATCTTCCACTGGATCTACTCCATCCTTTTCATGTATATGCTTATTTCGTATCCTGTCTCTAAGAGTAAAGTCACTCATCAACCTGAGCATCCTCATCTCTGCATCACTTAACTTAATATTATTCTTCTCTTTTAATGGTTAGCCTGCTATAACACCTCGATCCACATGCCTCGAAGAAACATTCATCCACACTTCCATAGATTTGAAATTTACTTTGGTTGACTGGTGTAACCTTAGCTGGTGGGATTAAGTATGAAGTCACGGGGAGATCGATCAAACACCGGTTCTGAATGCTGACTTCCTTCTATCCCTATCCCCTTTTTGGTCGAATATGAAAATCCATATTCATTATTACGAAGAGTCGTCTCTAAAATCTCATCACTAAACTCATGCTGTAATGATTGTCATACATTTGTAGATAAGATTGATCCAACTAGTCCACCCAAGATATTTGGTCACTCCAATCAAATTTATTCTTGGATTCTAGAAGATCTCGTTTTTCACACCAATGCTTATCGTTTTCACCTTCAGATCTTTAGTGCAAAAATGACTGGAGCTAGCTCTTAGCATGTTTAGGGTAGTTCTTCTCGTGCACATTGAGCTATCTGGATGCCTAGGCTACCACCTTACCATGTTGTATTAAAATATATCCCAAACCTTGATGTGAAGCATCACCGCAGATTTGAAATCCATCGGTAGCAGAAGGAATGATGAGAATAGGGGTTGATACCAAATAATTCTTGAGCTTTTGAAATGTCTGCTCACCGGCATCGAACCATATGAACTTAACAGACTTCTGGGTCATTCTAGTTAGTGGAGTTGCAATACTAAAAAAGCCTTCCTCGAAGCATTTATAATAACCAGCTAGGACAAGGAAAGTACGAATATCAGTGGCGAAACTACAAATCTTAGTGACGGTGCTTGGCCTTGGCCATTTCTTTACAACTTTGGCCTTAGCAAGATTTGCCGAAATTCCAACTTCATTAACAATGTGACAAAAAAATGCCACATTTCGAAGCCAAAACTTGCACTTCGAGAATTTGACATAAAGCTTAGTCTTTTGAAGAATAGTTAATGCAGTTCGAAGATGTCTGACATGCTCGTCATCATTCTTGGAATATATTAGAATATCATTAATAAATACTGTTACAAATCGATCTAAGTACAAACTGAAAACTCTATTCATCATATCCATAAAAGCAGTAGGGGCATTAGCTAACTCGAAAGTCATTACTAAAAACTCATAGTGACCATATCAAGATTGAAAAGTGGTCTTCGGCACATCATCATTCTTGATCTTACACTGTGTCCGGAAGGCGGCACACCCTGGTAACACGGGACATGATGAAGGGGTAAAAAGACCTATTTTGTATTCACAAAGAGAAGCATGCATATACAAGAGATGCAATAGGATATATATATGCACCATAGTAAATAGATGAAGTAAAATAAAAAGTCAATTTATTAATAGAATTTCAAATAATCAATACATCCAAATAACAAGAGTTCTGATACAAGCCAACAAAAATATAAATAGAACAAAAAAGGCAGGAAAGAAACTACCCAACTCTCAGAACAAAAGCATAATAAATTACTACAAAATAATAAATACCAATAATAGCCTACTATTGGTAACCCTGCTCTTGAGGGGCGAATTATTACGTCGGTCACTGGACCGTCCGCACACCAATCCAGACGCACCACGTCACCCGGATACACTGGGCCCCGGATGTATCTGGGTGATGTTGTGCGTCTGGATTGGTGTCCTGACAAATCCGGACACCGGACGTAATAATTTTCCCTCTTGAGGTGGCGGTCCACCAAACATGCCTATAGGACCTACTAAAAAGACAACATGTGAGTTTGATTTATCAAACTCAGCAAGTAACTCTTATATATCAAAATATAAATGGCAAAAGAATGGAGTATGTAGTACGAACAACTAAAAGAGGGGAGTAGTAGCCTATAATCACTATATTAAAAACAATCATGAGATATGCCATGTTTTCAACAACATAGTCTAATATGCATGTCTGTATGCTAGTTAGCGATTGATGTCAAATCACTTCAATGTTTACAAATGCACCACACTAGGTATCCTTGTACCTCACAATGACCTGTAAGTCATATCTTTGTTTCAATTCAAATCCAATTATATAATCAAACAGTCTTATGTATATAACTATAGTTGGCCTATCAAATGCACATCACCAGAAAGTTAAACACGAACCCAAGGAAATTCATTGAATTCTTATAGAGTCATCATTCTTAGTGCTCGTCAGCCCCGGCTAGCCAATAACCAATATGATTCTACCGACATACACATCAATGCACAAAATTATATTGTTTTTCAAAACATTTCATGCGTACTTTTCAATTGGTTTTATAGTTTCAATATGATCAATATTATTTGATACTAATGTTTGATTTGCTACCATAATTATCCATTTCATTCAATAAAGCATGTGTATGAAAATACCAAAAAAAAAGAATTGATGTGCATGAATTTATGCAACAATAATTCAAAAATGACTATTTATGAATCTTGCTTGTTCATATTTAGCAGATGCGCAAAAGAGTAGAATTCTACAATGACAGAACTGGCCATTTATCATCAAAAGGTCTTGCATAAGAATCAAGAATAACGCCACTAACTAAGAAATGTACGTTTATCCTAAAAAAATAAATAACAGTTACTCACAATGGTTGCCACAAACTCCAACCTCAAAAGTGGCTTGCTTGACTCCATCAAATGACAAACTTACAAGTAGCAAAACCAAAATAACATTAAGCACGATCATCAAGGCATAAAGAAAATTATCCTAATCAATCATAGCCACGCCATGAACACCAAAATTAATTATGAAATAATATGATATCAAAATATATAAATAACCTGGTTTGATCAAATCGAACACCAAACCTAAAATAAGGTCTCATTCAAAAACCAATTAAAATCCATCGCAGCAATGAATCAAGGCAACACTAAATCAAATCTTGCAAAAGCAATACAAAATAGGACATCTACTCTATATGTTGGCAATAAAGAAGAAGAACAAAGGAAGGAGAAGGGAAAAAGAGAAAGATTGAACTCACTATTGAAAGAAGGACTTGCTGTAGGCGTCCGTTGCGAGAAAGGAGCGAGGAGAGAGGATTTTGGTGGCTGCTACGAGGGAGAAAAGAGTAGAATAAGTGATGTCCTAGCTTCTTATTCGGTTTAAATGGCAAAAGGGAAGGTTGGGAGCGGGAAAAATCGAACAAGGTGGGATGAATTGTACTCGATTGGAGAGAGAGACATGTGCACGAGAGAGGATCGAAAGGTTTGCTTGTGCAGTTTGCTTGCGTGCAGAAGGTTTGGCTCGCTTGGTTTGACGCAAGAAAGATGTGGTGGACTGATGGGGACATCAGAGCATGAATTGTATATCAGAGGCGTGGCCGTTGATCTACGGCCACGATCGCGTCGATGTGTTTTGAGTTATTTCTTGTATTTGTTTTATTATGTTATTTATCTTTTATTATTATTTATGTTGTAATTGTTTTTCCGTTTTTACCTCTTACTTAAAGGCAGGTCGTATGTAAGCCATGAGGGCATTGTGTTTTATTTTGAGTCTTATGTACGAGGCTATTTATAGCCCCTATGTTCTCTTTGAAAATTAATGAATGATTGATTAAGATTTCTTTCTTGCATGAGTTCTTGTGAGAGCTTGAGAGCTTGAGAGATGAATCCCAAGGAGAGGGAAAACAGATCACCCACCAACCTTGGAGACGGCCGGGTTCTTAGTTTGTTTTATCGTTCTTGTATTTTCTTTCTTTCTTTCTCCTTTTCCTCCCAGCCGCCAGATTCACTAGCCGAACCACCACCGCCGACACTACTTTCCTCTTCCCAAACCCTTAACCGCCGGCCATTTAAAACCCCACCTCCACCCGTCGCCTACACCTAACCCGCCACCCCATCCACGACCAATCCCCATCGCCGGCCGCCCCTAGCCTCTCCCTCCATCCCCACTTGCTATCAATTCTT